CTGGCTAAAGAGGGGCTAAAGTCAGGCATAGCCCAGAACAAGGAGCTGAGCATCATGTTGGTTTCTGTTACTTTATTTTCAGTTCAAAATTATTTAGTAGAAGGTTGGTGTTTTCAGTAGGCCTCTTTGCTTGATTATTAGATCAAATCAGTTGCCATTCTTTGCCTAATGACTGAGCTTTCAATGTGGACTCCACTGAAGTGAAGATCTGTGTCACTAGCAGAAAGGTCTTGGTGTGTTATATGTGTAACACAGACTGAGAACCTGTGCAGCCTCCTGACAGGAACATTTCTCAAACTATGGGCTATGGACCCCATGATGATTAAAAGGAAGTCACAAGTGTTCAAAGAATTTGTCTGTTAATGTTATTAATGGTAGAAGATAAAACCTAGAAAGAATGTTCTTTAATACATAAATCTGTACAATTAAAATGTATACTCTTTCATCCTTGAATATTTCATTTTGAGATTCTATGCCCTGATAAGTCCTCTAGAGGATGCAGAAAGACAAATGACAGGTCATATATCTAAAAAGTCTGAAAAACACTAAAACTATCCTGCAATTGCTCAGATTAACACTCTCCAATTCACCCTTCCTATGTTGTCCTAGGTAGATTACTCTGCAGCTCTTCCATGAGCATCTCTCCCTTTCTGTCCTCCTACTTAACGACCTGTCCTCACTTCATCTTAAAGTTTCATTCCTGTCCCTTCTCTTCCTATTGTTTGAGACACTTCACCTGAAAGGAGTATCAGATCATGGGACTCAAAATCTCATTAGTCTGCCTTAAATTTGTGTCACAACCTATTTTGTATGCATGGTAGCAGTTATGTGAAAAGTGCAGAGCAGTAACATGACATAATTTGATCAAGATGTTTATCTTTCTTTTAAATAATGCTATATAATAATTCAATAATTTGGCTTACACAGTTACATAATCTTAACATGTGGCCCAGTGTTGTTCTTAAAAGGGTCTCCATTGTCCTTGGAAACACCATTAGCGTTTTAGTTTTGATCTTCTGAGTGCCTTGCACTTGCCAAGAGACCTTCCTCATAGAAAACCATGCAGCAACGCAGAGTGTCTTCTGTAGCCTCTCTTCTCCTCTAGCTTAAAAAACAAATGCCTGGCTTAGACCAAAAAAAAGAAAGATAGCCAGGCTAACTCAAAGATTGCCTCAAAAGAGCTGTCATCTCAAACTACTGAGGTATCAAAAGTATTCAGACAGCTTTCCCTACCTGTTCATTTTCCTTTTCCTATGATTTCTGTGCTCTCTCTTGCTGGCCAGAAGCAGCAGTGCTGAAGTGCTGACAGATAAGCTTTTTGTGAGTATTTTTGGCTCTGCCAGGGATTGTAATTATATATCAGCTCACAGGAAAGGCCTTTTCTTGAGAGACTTCCTTTTCAGAAGAAAAGCCCAAATGATTCTGGATACACAATGTTCCTGAGTTACCAGTCAGACATTCTCACTGTAGCTCCTCTGTTCTGACAGAGTTTTTGATGCGCCTCAGTAAATCCAAATCAGAGAGAACAAAATCCTGCTGTGTTTTGTCTCAAAAAAATTCAAGAGGGACATAAAAGTTGGAGACATTTCTGAAGGAAAATAAATAAAATCAGATATTCTTCCAACAAAGTCATTTTACAAGCCCCTGTTATTACCTATTAGAACAGTATGATAGCTGCATGGAAATCAGTCATGATTGCATACCCTGCACTGTAAATTGTAACCCAAGATGAAAGGTTCTCTAGTACTCCAAAACTCACTCTGAAAATGCAGATAATTTACCTTTAGGCACAACCATAGCAATGTACTGGTTCCTTCTGATGCTAGCCCAGCACAGATGTGACCAGGAAAGCTGTTGTGTCTTATCTTCCTACTGCATACTTCTCTGTCTTGATATGTATCTAGCACTTGCTTTAAAGTGGTCATTGGTTTTAGATAGTTATTAATTTGGTTCATTCTATTTTCCATATCCAAACAGTCATGGTGTTTTCAATTATGGAAATAATCTCCTAAGTCAGTATGGATAAAATACTCTTCCATTTTGCTCATGATCTATTTTAAGGACTTTTCATTTGCTTGTAAACTAACAGGTTTAGATTTCCCATCTTAAATAATCCTTTATGAGTGTTTTGACAATAATTATTTGCTATATTATAATACAATAATGTAAGCAGGTTATCTTTGCTCATCTATTGGTTGTAAAAAGTCAATTTACAAGAAATACTTTAGTCTAACAGTAGAGAAGTTCACTATGCAATATTATAAATTGCTTTTAATCTCATTTCAAACTGGTTTTCTAATAGAAGAACTCTGTCTGCCTCTTAGAAGTCTTACTAATAAACTGGATTTTTGCATAAAATGTGCATTTGCAATGTGCTCAAAAGCAAGCACTCCATATAACCTGTGCTCATCTAAATGCTTCTATATGTGTCTGTTGAGTGCATACAATGTGGATGGAAGAGAGAGCAGAAACTATCAGCCTAGAAGCTGTCTCCAACAGAGACCTTAAACATTTTGTTTACATATGTTTCAAAAAATGTTCCTTCTTAAATTAATATTTCAGCAAACCAGAAACTTTCTTTATTCTTTCAAACTTTATTTCACACCTAACACAATGAAAATTTGCTTTCATGCTAACAAAATGCATTTCCCCTCTCATAAAGCTTATGTTGCATCTCCCTGATAATATCCAAATAGTGCATAATTAATATTCCAAATCACGTGTTCAATATTCAGGGGCCAAGAGGTCTAGACGGTCCTCTAGGAGAACCAGGAACACAAGGCATTAAGGTGAGTATTTGCATTGCTCAATACTACACAAAACATTGAGATAGATCATAACAGAAAAGAAAACAAAAAACCAAAGGAACAAAATCAACATAGCAAGTCAGAAGCCATAAAATTCCATTTAATCCAGGAGGAGATTTGCAAATTTCTGCCTTCTTCAGGTATTTTCTTATTATGGTATCAGCCCATCCGAGCCTGAATCTGCACTTTCTGCAGTTACCCAGCACTAAACTGACTACAACTGTGTGCAACTGAAGTAGCAAGTGCAAGCAGAATTCACACATTGTTCTTATTTATCAGGGAGAAAGAGGTGATCCGGGAAAGAAGGGAGTTCCTGGGCTCATTGTAAGTATTGGAGCCAATCTTTGTAGTAAGTCTTAAGACAGTTACTACTGATTTCTGAGCTGTGTTTAGAAATTATCTTAAGCCAGTATTGCCTTTCAATCTTTCTCTTTGACCAGGGTAAAGCTGGAAATCCAGGAGAAAGAGGAGATCAAGGTGCACTTGTGAGTATGAAATTCTCTAGTACTTTAACCCCCCCCAAAAATCCACGAAGTCTCATACTTCGTTTCACATGCTGATATGAGGGAATTTGTCTGCTTTAGAGCAGCTGGAAAACTGACAGTACAGTTTGCATTTATTCATACGAATAATCAGCGGCAGAAGTAAATCTCAACGTGATTTAGTCTGCTACAACACCAGTGTTCTCATGGATGATGGTCCACAAAATACAATGTAACAGCAAATTGCGGCAGGAGAAATCACTATTGTAGTTAGCAGAACACTCCTAGAAGTTGCTTTCGGTTTCTTACTTCTCTTGTAGTTTTAAGGGGGAAAGATGTGACATAAATAATTCTTTGATAGATTTTAGAGTAGATGTGTACTTTCAATGTTGGGATAAATGTAGAAAAAAATTGTGATGTGTATCATATGTATAGGAAAAATTACTCCTTTCAGGTCTTCTTTCAATGAAAATCTAACATGTTCTATTTGAGGCTTTTGTTACAGAAAAGGTTACCAGTCAGTCCAAATTGTATTGGATTTTCAGTAAGGAAGGAAGCAGAAACAAAGCAGTAATGGTAGTGATTTTGTGCTGAAATTGAAACTTAAAATGTTAGTTGTCACTGTACTTCTCTTGCTTCTCCTGCTTCTCTTGCTGCCTCTCACCTTTGACTGAATGGGTTTTTCCTTTTCCTTCACTAGGACTTTTAGATGTATTTATATGTGCAGAAATTAATGAAGCAAAATGTCGATACGTTGAAATGATGGGTATTAGTACATTTATTGCAAAGTACAAGATACTGCTAGATACTCCTAGAAAAGAGTATGAGACAGATGCCAGGTTGAGCAGAAGGAAAAGTGGGCTGTGAACCTTACTGATATGTCAAATAAGAGTTTGTAGGGTGGGATACTCAGAATATTGTGTTTAGGCCCAGTTTGCACACATAATGTAGCACATGAGTCTAAGGAGAACGATGAGGAACTGGTAAATGGTGGGTCAGCTAGGATCCATCCATATGTAAAAGAAACTGAGGAAGGATTTATTCAGGGCTCCCTCACCTGCCACAGGAGCTAGTAATAGGGCAACGCATATCAACCAGAAGAAAAGGCTGCACATACTGCGTGTTTCTGAGCAAGTTATTGAGTTATTATTACAGAAATAAGAGAGGAAGTGGCTTTTCACAGAATATGAAACAGCTTGTTTCCAGTGATTTTTTAATTTTATTTTCATTTTCCAGGGTTTGCTTGGGCCTCCCGGCACCACAGGAGACAGGGGACCAATGGGAGAGCCAGTAAGTTGATCCCTATGCAGACTTAAAAATTTTTCCACATATTATACTGAATTGCTTGGTAACTCTGGCTCTGTTTTACCAAGATTCAGTGTTGCCAGCTGTGGTTGGATAGGAATTGTGGGGTAATAGTTCCAAAACTGCAAGGCTTGAGTCTGTCTCCGTTACTCAGTGTAACTTGTTCATAAAGAGACCTGTTAATTATGTTGGGAAGAACTGTAGCAAAGGGTGGACAACACAAGAACATGACACAGTCTGGACCACAGTATTATGAGGCTTTACACTGCCTTGAGGTAGACATCTATATATGGGTTATGTAAATGTATGTGCAAATACAGATATTAGTGCTGTTTTTTTCAGGCAAACTTTAGAAGAGTTATTCAGGAACTTGGGGACCACATCTATCTGGCAGAGTAAATTAAAAAAAAAAAAATAAAAAGAGACTGTTAAAATAAACCTCAGGCATTCCTCCACTGGATAGATTCTTATTCTGATTATTATTTCAAGGCCACACTCACTTTTATGTGGCTAATATTGTAACAGAAGATCATGCAGAATCTGCAGCAAATAAATGCAAAGTGCTGCAAGATGTAGCCATGACAGAAATACTATTGCATCACCATCTCTGGGGGTAAATCAGATTATATAAATATAGTGAAAGGGTGTGTGCTGTCATAGGGGCTCTTGGGAGAAGGCTGCCATTTTATGGTGTAAAAATCTAACAGTTGTCAAAAACTGTGTGTTTTATTGCTTCTGAAAAGTTATTTTACTCATGAAATGACATATAGTTAATTTAAATCTTGAAAGTGAATCGTTGACATAAAGTATATTATTTCTACTAATGGTTATTATTTTAATGTTATTAAATATTATTTCTACAAATCCATAGGCTGACATACTTAGAGAAAGCCATCACACATTTTTGGGGGCTAGAAAAATACCAACATTTCTTTTGGTTAATTTTCTTTTTGGTTATAATTGCCTGCTTAACTCAAGCTGCCAACTTGTAGGAGTGGCAAAAATGTTTCAAAAGAAAATTTGTTTTCTAATTGTTATTATTGGAATCCTTTCATTTCATCTCTTTCATTTCTTTAAACTTCTTGTTGTGATATCTGAGAGCCTCACGGTGCAAGATTTATACATAAAATTCCTGCCACCTTCTGGTCAACTGAATTTTCATATATATATATATATATAAAGTGACTGTGAACCTTACCTAATCTAAGTGGTTCACTCTTGAGCAACCTACATTCTATTGTGCTTATCATTGTAGACTCTGTGCATGCAGTGCCAGAAGTAAGAAAAGGTTACCTGTAAACAGGGTACCTTTTCTTTCAAATGCTGAAAGAGTAAAATGTCTTTGGAAAGTGGTCCTTGGATCTAGAAGGAAGTGATGGAAATTACACAAGATATTATAAAACTAAACGTGTGGCTTTTTTTTAAAGGCCCATCCAAACAGCTTGATTTCATCTCCTGTCAGCTGGTCACTACATGAAAGCCAGCTGCTGAAGCAGTTTCTCTGGCCCTGTCACTAGTTTTGCACAGAGCAGAAAACCCCTAATTATTGGTGGAGGAGGACAGAAATGTAAGCAATTACAACTATTTGTAGTAACAGTCTTGATCTAAATTACACTAACATTTTACCTACTTGTTGGACATTTCAGTGAAATCCTTCTTTGCAAATTATCTATTGTTAATGCTTAAAAGGAGTCCCAGTATTGTTATTCCCTGGAATTCCCTGAAAGTCTCAGGAGAAAGATATGTTACCAATCCAGAAGATTTAGCTCTATGGTAATATAATGAAGAAATACTTGACTGGTGAATCAGGCCTAAGCTTTGTGACACTTGCCTAGTGGAATGTCATGGAGTTGCTGAAAACAAGAACCGGTGGACTTAGTCTAGGGCCAAGTGAATTCTAAACAGGAAACTAACTGCAGTTTCAGTTGTTCACACTTACATGAAGCTATGGGGTAAAATATATGCATCTGCTGAAATGGTCTCAGTAACATGCAGTTTACGTTGTCATTGCAAGGGAAGACTATGACTTTCATTCACTGCCATCAGGAAGAGCAAAACCATATGCATAGTTTGTAAGAGGAATTGAAACAAAAAGGAGTAAATATTTTCTTAAAAGGCTTCTATCATAAACACGGGTAGCAGCATCTTTCTTTTACATGAGAATAATAGATCAGCAAAATATTTTGGATTTTGCATGTATTTAAACACAGATGAGTGCCAAAGAGGTAAATGGATATGGACTTTCTGGAAGTTCAAAGACTGGATACATCCAGAGGGTTGATTTGTCTTGACATATGTTCACAGCAGCTATGGAATCAGCTGTAAGATGTTACAGGCAGCTTCTAGCCCTAGCACACAAATCCCACTGTATGAGCAGAGATGGACAGTCTAACGTGCAGAGAACTTGAGGATGCTGCTTGAGGAAATGATCCCTACATGTTTCAGCAGTAAATTTATTACTTAAAGTAGGACTTAGACAAAAATGTTTATAGTATAGTTACTAATAGTACCAAAAAGGCTCCAGTCTTCAGTCCATTCCACCTCAGTGATTGTCCTATATAAACATTGCTGAAGCCCACAGTAGTTGTTTTCTGTTAATTCCATACCAGACTGTAGGCTTTTCCACAAAGCAAACCAGACAGTCCAACAAACCTTAATTAAACAAAGTCTCAGTTAGTCAAGGGGAGAGCTTAGTTTAGATAATAATTTACTTTTGGTCTAAAAGAAAGACATCTGTGCTATTATTTGAAATCTGTTATTTCAGTGTGTCAAGATTGGCAATGAGATCTTCAGTACTGTATGCCATTGTGGTACTTACACTGTTGGATTCAGGAGGAAAGACAACTAAATACTTTTTTTTAAAATGCCAGTTGGTAGTGCTCTGAAGAGGCAAAGACTATGCAATGTAATTTAATGTTAATTGAATGATGCATCCAAAATTTTGTTTGATGCCAGGGTCCAAGAGGACAACCAGGGGATGCTGGCCCTGTTGGAGAAATGGGGTTTGAGGTGAGCATTTAGTTGTTTATGTAGTAATTAAAACACTCAAGCAACTGAAGCTGGACAATGTGTTTAGAAACTATACATTTTTTTATTACCTGCAGCTGACTTAAATACCATGAGCTGCTGAGTCTCTTAAAGCTGTTACCAAAAATAAAAGTCTTAAACCATTTGTTTTTCTGTTGCGAGCACTGTCTTTAAATGTCCATGATGTGCACCTAGAAGGTGCAATTGACTTCAGGTTTTGTTTTGTTTGCTTGTTTGTGGGCTTTTTTGTTTGGTTGGTTGGGTTTTGTTGTTGGTTTTGGTTTTGGGTTGGGTTTTTTTTTGGGGCGGGAAGTACCATTCTCCTTGCAGTTAGGTAGTAGAACAGCATTAATCATATGTCCTTGCAAATGGTAGATGAAGAAAAGCAGCTGCAGGCAGTCTTGCTAATTTTTGCTGCTTTTTTTTTTTTGCTTTGTTTTTAATATCTCTCTGAAAGAAATATGACAGAATGTATTAGCGACATTTGCAATGAAGTAGCTGAGGAATGAGCTCACTTAGAACGGAAGACATTTAGCTTATTCGAAGAAACGTGCTTCCTCAGTAACCCAGAATCTAGTCTTCTGGCTGACTATTAAAAAAAAAGGTTTAAATGTAAACTTCACAAGAAGCAATCTGATACTATTAACTCTTTAAGGACTGAAGACTCCAAAAAGGGCTTTGTTCTCCAAAGGCTTTATGTGCTTGGCTCCAAGCCTAAACAGTGATGAAGTTGTCAGTCAGATTTACAAGAGATAGATGGTTGCTCAGCCTGCTAGTAATTTGTGATGAAAGGTATAGGCTTAGTGGTACTGCTGAGTCTTCAATATATGCCCGACCCACAGTGCAGTTCCTGAACTCCTCCTATGCCCTCCTTTCTTTTTTTCCATTGAGCTCTGGCAAGAACAAAGAACTGTGTTGTCTTAATTTGATTTTTCAGACATGCATCTTTCCCAGTGTCTCATGCCATTTTTCTGCTTCAATTTTGGCTCTGTTGTTTGGTGGTTGCAATATTGTTACTGGTGACCACGTGTAACGGTAGCTCATGTACCACGCAGGGACCTCCTGGCCCTGAAGGAGAACCCGGCCTGCAAGGAGAACCTGGCGCAAAGGTAAATGTGGCAGTTATTCTCTCTTGTGCTGCTTAGATTTTCAAATTTCCATAAAAGCAAATCAGAGTCATCTGATTCATTAGTGAAGTAGGTAGTGATACAGGAAATAAGCCATTAAGAAATACTGTTATTGCCGTGATGGCTGCATTATCTGTAAACCTTGTCATTGTTAGGAATGTTGTTCCTTAAAATGCAATGATTTATTTTTCTTGTGATATTCCAGGGAGACACTGGGCCTGCTGGGAATGCTGGAGAGCCAGGCGACCAAGGTTTAAGGGTAAGCTGTGGATTCAAATCTTCTTTCAAAAGGGAAAGTATGTTATGAATATGTCAGAAATGCAGGCTGGGAAATCTTGATTTATCAAAAGAATTCAGTAAGAAGCTATTTTCTGAAACCTTAAAAAAAAAAAAAAAAGTTGTATTATTGTAGCATGTTAGAAAAAGTGTTAGTTATAATGAGATATTTCTACCTGTCTCATGTTACTGAGGGACATGAACAAGTGGTTGGAGCATGAAGATAAATCCAAAGGTGTCCAGCCCAGCTGTTAAGATGACAGCACACAGTAATGCTGTGTATGGACACCCAGTATAGGTGAGATAATGGGAACATGATAGTCTCAGCAGAAGAGGATATCTCTCTGTACCACCATCTGAAGCAGCTGATTTGTGTGTGGTGCTGTGGATGGATCACTTGGTACTTGATTTTACGAAGCACTTGTGCCTCTGCTTATTTTTCCTGTGCATATTACCTCATCTGGCCCAAATAGTTGCTTTAACTCTGAAGGCTGAAAAAAATTTTTAAAGTGTTATAAACAGATTTTATCCAGGATGCTTTAATAAGAGCATAAACTGTATCCATTCAAACTTAATTCTTACCATTGAGCTCCTTTGTTCCATTAGTTCCTTGCTGTTCTCTTTTCATTCTGGCCAAAATCTCCAATGGGGTGCATTCAGCATTGTACTTGGAGAAAAGTAATTCCCAGTACTGGGCCACAGCATCAGAAATGTCCCACTGTCTCAGAAATACTAGTTATTAGTATAGGGCTGCTCATATTTGCCTTTTTACTATCTGCATCAGAAGTTGCAAGTTGCCAGTGCCTTTACCTGAGAAAGGCAAATATTCTAAAATGCCATGATGCTGATACTGTTGGTCAATGATGAGTTTTTCATTTTGCTGTACTGAGTCACTAAACATACCAATGTAGTAGTTATCCACATAAACATGGGAATTTCAGGACAGAATAAGTGTAATTATAGTAACCTCAAAAATGTATGTGCATACTCTGAAAACAAACAATCTCAGTGCTACTGCCCAAATCTCCAGTGTTATACAGACATAGTATTGCCTCATTTTTCTAATGTTGAACAACTTTTATGCTTACTTGTGTTCAAGCTTCACAGGGCTGTGACTCCATCACTATGAATCAGTAAAAAATGAAGTGAATTAAACAAGAACAGCAACGTAAAAGTTGTCCAAAAGATAATAAGCATGTGTAAAACTAGTCTGAATTCTTCCCAGGCAATACTTCTATGTTAAGAAGTCTAAGCAATAACTTTGTTTTCAACTGTTCCTTTCTATAAGGGTGAAACAGGACCTCCAGGAGAAGACGGTGCTCAAGGAAGAGATGGCCCAAAGGTACATCCAGGTGTTTGTAGCAGACTTAAAGTTGTTGTATTCACTTAAGGACCCAAATACTTTTTTCTCCTATCTTACCCGGTCAACAGAGCTCAGTTGAGTGCACTTAGTTTTAACATAGGAGGCTCTGTACGTTGCAGGCTTTCCTGTGAATTTTAGGCACATAGCTACCCTGCAAGGGCTGCAAGCTTGAATGGCTTGACAGAGAAATGCAACTGGGAGAACTGAGTACAGTTTATTTCCATGGTGACTATCGTGCTGGAGAGAGCGAGCCCAAGGCTGCTTCCCTCCCTGCGTTGGACCAATGATGTGCCAGGGACTGTGGCAGGCACCAGGGCAGGGGATGTCACAGAGGACACCCTCAGGTAGCTGGTGACAGGTGAGACAAAATCTGGCGGTAGGAGTGTATGAATGATATAGAAAGGGCTTTACCCTAACTTGGAGCCAGATCTGAATTTGACTGGTAAGTTTCCCATCAGTTTTATTGTGCTTTTTATTAAACTTGAAGATTCAGGATTCGTTTTTCTCAAGAATAAGTAATCTTGTAGCAGCAGCTTGACTAAGCGTGAGGGCGTTTTATTTGTTTAGAGTGGGTTTTTTTGCTTTGTTTTAGGGAGACCCTGGAGACCAGGGACTTCTTGGTGAAGGTGGTGAAAAAGGAGAGATAGGGTTACCAGGAATTGCTGGACCTCCTGGTGAACCTGGCATAATGGGCATTCCT